GGGCGGGGCGGGTAATCATTTTTTTAAATGACACGGGTCTCGGGCGGAGCGGGTATGAAATACACGGGTTCGGGCGGGTAAACATTTTTTTCCGGGTGTGATGAACGATCGTCAAAACTTATCACGGGATGTCCTTAGTATAGGTATGTAGTACAAAGTACATATTGATTGGTTCATTACTTTCATCCTATTATGTACAAGATGGTCTACCATTTGTTTGTTTCTTTCTTTATCGTCTGTCATACGCAACTTCTACTATCAATTTATATTAAGTGAATAACTGGACTAAAACTTATTTTATATGTAGAATTATCGTTTGAATTTTTTTGTGAATTACTACTTAGGTCTGACCAAAAGTTCTGACAACATTATATAAAAATATAAAGATAAGGAGGTATCTTTAATTTTATTTTATCAAATTTTGAGGACAGTTGCCATGATTATTTATACCAAGTTTGATCCTTTCCAACGATTAGTTAAAAGTTTTTTGAAGTTTTTTCGAAAAAATTTTAGGTATCATGGATACCGCATGAGCTAATCATATTTCATTTATTGTGAAAAGTTAGCAAAATCTTGTTCGATCATATCTGTTGCATTCTAGTACTACTAGTGATGAGATATAGATTTATATTAGATAGGTTAGTCATAAGTTATCCGATGCTGGCTGGCTTATTGAAGATGAATCGTCAAAGACTATTGTTCATGAATAAAGATTTTAGAAAACGCTTTGTTTGGTATATTTTTTAAATCAAATTCTCCTGAATGTAGATAAAGGCAAGAGTGTAAGTCACAAGTATTAGGCTGAACGCTCTCCAAAACATTTTATTAATCAAATATGGAAACAAACAGAGACATCAGGTTCATAATGTACAAAATTGCTTGACGGTCATCGTTGACTTCATACTCATCTAATGTTATTAATTGCATGACAGAAGAAGGCATCAATATAATATCATACCTATCATATTCGCCAGGCCTGATACTATGTAACTTTTCGCTAACTAATTCTATTAAATGTAGTTTAACTGATTAAATAAATGAAACATGATAAGCTCGTGCGATATCTGAAAATTTTTTCGAAAAAAACTTTTAACAAATTGTTGGAAAGGTTCGAACTTGGTATAAATAATCATGGCAACTGTCCTCAATATTTGATAAAATTAAATTAAAGCTGCCTACTTACCTTTATATTTTTATATAATGTTGCCAGAACTTTTGGTCAGACCTAAGTATGATCGAATTACATGATTTATCTCCTGATGAATCACTTAATAGGACAGCTTCGTCGAATACTGATCGTTCATCTACAATTATTTCTTCATCTCTCAGTCATTGCTCATCGAGTAATATTAAATGTAATTCGTCAAATATAAAAATGTTTTTAAGAGAACAACCACAAAAATACGTGCTTGTCGACAATCACAAAGTGAATCATTCAAAATCATCTCATATAGACTTGAGTTTTGTTTTTGTAAAAAATGATTTTTCATAAAAGGAATGCATCATTAAAAATAAAATATCTGGTAAATAAAAAATTTCTTCGGGTTACACGGGGACGGGTCGGGGCCCGTCACAAAAATGGCGGGTCGGGCGGGCTGGTCTAAGAAGCTGCCTGTGCGGGGTACGGGCGGAGCGGGTATAGATTTGCCGGGGTACAGGCGGGGAGGGGATTCTCAAAAAGAATAACCACGGGGTTCGGACGGGACGGGTTTGTGAATTTTACGGGGCGGGCCCCGCGGGGGATGGAAAATCAATGCCCCGCACATCTCTGCAGTGAAGAACGAAAAATTTCTGCTGTTAGAATGAATGAGAGAGGTAGAGTCACTATTTCAAAGTCATATTTTGCAAGAAAAACTATTTTGTCTAATAAAATCGATAAAAAAATGTCCTTTTCTGTAGCTTAACTAAAAGGAAAAACCGACTTTTTTTTCATATTAAATTGAGTGAAAATGTTAGAGCTACTATTCTTGACTAAGTGATACGA